AAAAAAAAAAAAAGAAAAAAAAACAGCAGGAGGGAGACGCTGTATGCGGGCACGCAACAAGAGTTGGGGCCCCTTGCATACTTCTCCACCATTTCTTGGCTTCGCCAACTCTAGCGGGACGGCAATGGACGTCCCGCAAGGGTCTGCAAAAGTCAAAACCCAACAAAAATAATGTCGGAGATGCGGCTACTGAGGCCTAGCAAGACTCTGTGCGGGCACTTCACCTAGCAAAGCCACTGTCAAAACCAATATGAAAAGCTGGGTTATACCACTTCCTTCCATGCTTGCATAATTCTTAGGGTTTAGGGTGTAGGGTTTTTAGACCCTGAACCCGGATCCCACTCGAAATGCCCATGCAGACGGAAACCAAGCACTCCCGGCGTCCTTGCAAGCTCGGCGCACGAGGACACAGGCTGCCTGGGAGAAGAAGCAAGTGCATAGCTTAGGGTTTAGGCTTACCAGAAATTAACCCACTTCCCTTCATAAGGATCATAAACGGGTCTTGTAAGAGTAGCGATGTAAGACCTTCAAAGGGGTTCATCTATTCAGGGCCCGCTGATAGAATCCTTCGTGCAAGAACATAAACTTGCCATTCGAGAAGCTCCATGCCTAAATCCTGACTAAGCCCTACTTGGAGGTTCACGCGACTTAATAAGTACAGTTATAGGTACCTAATCGGGGTTATAAGTAATTGCAAGTATAGTTACGTTATTTATAACCCTAGTTACTAAGTCCCATGAACCTTTAAGTAGGCTCATAACCCCTGAACCTTAAGCCTCTCTTTGGGAGCTGGGAGTTTCAAGCAACTACCCAGACCCCCGGGAGGATCTGGAAAGTAGAACCCCTAATTTGGGACCCTATACTACTAAGGCTCTTTATAGGAACCCCCATTAAGGGATCTACTTTCTAGATCCTCCCGGGGGTCTGGGTACGGGAGGTTACCTCAAGGGTTTAGGGTTTAGGGTTTAGGGTTTAGGGCAAGCCTCGCAGGCTCTCAGCAAATCACGGCGTCGGAGAGCCGCCCAACCGACCAACACTGCCAGGCCTCGGACGGTTGCATATTGCGTTTAGGGATCTTTGGAGCTTCATAAGAGTGTGTTAGATAGCTTATGCCCTCGTGTCTATCTTCTTACCAGTCCCTGTTGTCGTGGTGATATTTGCATTAAGGTCATCGGCATGAGTAGACTTCATACTTTCGGCTATAATCCATTTTATTGCTATGGTTATGCCGATGTGTAACCATCATGATGTGCGTTAAGATGATAATGACACTGTCATAACTCGTGCGCTTGCCCGTGCTACCTCAGATTCGTTACCTCAGAAACCTTACAGTTTCGCGGCACTGATGCCACTCTGCAACTCCTTGCCACTGCCTGCCTTCTAAACCTGACTTACATCTTGCCTCGGAAGGCCTCTGCAGCCCGCTAGACTTACAAAACCTCTAACCGATAGGCAACACACTGTGAAAACTACAAAACCTTAAACTTATAAGCAACCTATAAGTCGAGTGACGCAGCGGCCATCAAAGCTCCAAAAATGATTCCGGCTGCAAAAGCTTACTGTAAGGCATTCTATAAAGGATAGTTATAGTTATTATATATATGATATGATATAATATAATATAATATAATATAATATAATATAATATAATATAATATAATATAATATACGGAAAAGGACTCCGGCTCTATCATCCTGCAAAGCTACGCAAGGCATCTGGGGGTGCTTGAAGCTTTTGCGCACGAGTTCAATGGCATCCCGATGGTGCCGTAGTACCCTTACGGTACTCTTCAAGGTTTAGGATTTAGGGTTTAGGGTTTAGGGTTTAGGGGTTATGGTAACAGACGGGACCGCCGTGGGGCTTGGGTTTTTCAACACAACACTTTCACATACTTTTCGGTACTTGTCGTTTCGGTATTTGTCGTTCTGGATTGCTTTGCATGCTCCCCCGCAGGCAACCCTTATAGTCCCACTACAGTACCGTTATACTACCGTTCTGTGAACCTTACACTGCCCTTTGCTACTATTGTATGGTAACCTGATAGTCATGCAGGAGCATGGATAACTAGAATAGGGTTTTGGGCTCCCTCAAAGTATAAATATATTAAGGAACCCCAAGGAATTAGTATAAATATCAATAATAGGGAACCCTAAGGAATTAGTATAAGTATTAATATTAAGGAACCCTTAGGGAAGTAGTAAGAGTATATTAAGGAACCCTTAAGGAATCATATTGGTAATTGTCTAGGCT